ATTGAAAACTGACAATTTAAACGATTCATCTAATATGTCTTAATGCATCATACACACTAAATTGTGCTGCTTGGTGCCTTTGTAAATTTTGCTTCCAATGCCTGTTCTAAATTCTAAAAGTTTTGACATTTCTAGATTTTGTTGCTCGATGCGTGAATAAATTAAAAAAATTCTGCCACACCAGCTCTGTAACCTGACTTACCATATATATTGTATATTTTTTCTGAATGCTCCTATTACTATAAAATTAGCAGCTTTCTCTATACATTCTAAATGCATTTAGTATTTTTAGAATAACAAAAAACTTTAATTAAATCCAAAAACTCTAAAATGAAAAGGAAATGTGGAAGAAAAAAACTGAATACATTAACAGAAAGGAAAATTATTCTTCAAAGATATGTACAGATATTACTATGTAAATTACCCAGTTGTTTACAATTTCAGTTTTTAATATAATTTCCCATTTCTATTTTCTCACCAGAATGCAAATCCCGTAGACAGTTTTTAAACCGAGATTTTTGGAGTGTAAGACAAGAATGTATTTCTGACCTCCACTTGCTCCCTGCATTAGTTCCTGCCGGATCTGATAATTTGCATTTATCGTCTTTACATTACTGCTGCCGACATTTGAATTTGTTATGACAATAGAGTTTACTGAGTCGGCTTAAAATGAAATTAAATTGTATAGTCTTTGATGACTAGTCTATATTTTTATTTTGCATTTGATTTTTCTTGTTTAATTACATCACCATGAGCTGTAATTGATTTTTTTAGCATAAGAACATGCTTTATGTTCTTCTTTTTAAATAAGAAGCTTATTTAAATCTTTGTAGTTACTTTCAGATATAGCGATAATTTGCTTCACATCTGTCCGAAGGGTTTTGGACTATTTAACTTTTACCAGATCAAGTAAACCCTCATAGGTACATTTTGGAGAGGTTGACAGGTTAGGAGATACAAAACGTAGAAACTAGTGAGAACACTGTCTTGCGTATTGAGACAAAGTTCTAACTGTTAGAAAAGATGCTTAAAGAGAAGGAAATTGATATAAATTAGCCAAAATGTCTGGGAAGGCTTCAGATTAAAAAGACTCATAAATATCTTGTTGAGTGTTGTTTCAAAATATTAAAAGTTACAAAATATAAATATTTTGTAGCTTTTAATGTATAATTATCCTAATATCATTTAAGAATCAATGCCATAAATTACATGTATTTTAAACTGTGAAATTTTATTAGATTGTGATTTAATAAGGCTTTTTTAACAAATAATGTTAAAAAATAAATAAAATTTAATAGTGGCTATTTAAATCCATAATGACTAAGGTTATCTAAGACCCAATTTAATTACTTATAACAAACTGGTTACCTTTAAAGATTATCTCTGCATTTTAAAGCTAGTTGTTGCCTTTCTTTAACCCTTATCATGGTCACAAGATAAAACACAAAAATGTAAAAATTCATGTAAAACCTATTCTTCGCATCTAGTGAGACTTAAAATAATGCAAAACAACTTGTCACCTCTGGTGCTTTAGTGGATTATTAGGACCTTAAATTATATTAACTGAGTTACAATCCCTGGAACTCTACAAGAAGCTACGACGCTAACTGCTTCAGACAGACCTCAGCTAACCTCAGCTCAACAAAATTGCGAACTGTGCTTACATCAGGCCTTAAGGTTTGTTCTGATCATCAGGTCTCTCCTAGGCAAGCAAGAAAGGTGACAACAGCCAGTCTTTTTGTTTTGAATCGTGCTGATTGTGATTTTACTTTTCACTTTAACCTATGCCACTTGACATAAAATCTACTTACTATTTTCTAAACTCATAGAGTGAGCAAGTATGTGACAAAATGAGACATTTAAAAAAATCAAAGCTAACTTTTAGTAAAACCTAAATAAAATGTCACTTATCTTCTTTCAAATATGTCCAGTTAGTATGAGTGCAAAATATTTAATGATAAATTTCATAAACTTTATTTTATTCTCAAACTTACTAATAATTATATTTAATACTAATGCATCCTACTTATGGATCTATTTTATTTTTAGGATGGTATTACAAAAGTGAAGTTCAGCATAGATAATATTTTTAATTGAATTTATTCAGTTCCCATTTGCTTATAGGTCCTTAATTTTTTCATGGAGGGTCCTTAAAAGTACTTAATTTCTGTGTGCAGAAATGTGTACGAACCGTGGTCGCGCTTCCTGTCTGGTTGCTGAAAGAAGACTGACGTCTGAGCCAGTGTTGCACAAAAATATTCTATTTGATTTCCTGTCTCTAATGAAAAGGCGACGAGGCTCAGAGGGTAAAGCGCATGTCGCCACTACACTTTCCCTGGTACATTTCCTTGGAATGTACATGGTGGAACACACTTTTTAGCTTTATCGCTAAATTTATGATGATACCAACAATAGGAACAGTTCGAAGCAGCTTTAGCTGAAGGGCTTCGCTTCCTGTTATAGCGATTTTTGGAAGTACTGCGTGATCGTCGTAGAGACAAAACCTCCCTACGCAATTTACATACTTCCTCCAGCAGGAATCCAATTTAGAATTCTCAGAGACATCGAGAGATACACGAGAAGAAACTTCGCTTACCTGAGCGGGTGTAACTTCCAATATTCTATCCGTGATACTGGCAGCTTTCGATGAATCGAGCGGCTCAACTGACACTAGAATAGACTGATCATTTGGCGGCATCTGGTGCATGAATAATTCCAGTAACAAAGAGTCAGGCATGTTGTACTTTTCAGCCCTCCTAGTCATCACCCGTAGAAGTTCTAAAGGTTTTCTACCTCCAAGTTGCTCGCCCGTGAGTAATTTCCCTATTTCACTCGTACTGCTTTCACCACAGCATTCCGTAATAGCAGCTTTGAGGTCTTCGTAAGAAGCATCTGTCCGTTCCCAGAGAATGATATCTCTAAACATCCGGGTCACAATTTTATGGTGGTGTGGTGGTTATGTGCTTGGTGTATATCCTTGAATTGACATGACTCCATTTCCTTAAACATAACCTTTATTTACACACACACACACCGTAACTTTAAACACAACTGAAATAACAGGACGAATAACAAAACCACTAAACTAAAATTCAAACACCCTATGGCTGCAGCTAAGGACGAAGTGAGTTCACTGCTGCGCTAGCAGTTTTTACATAAACCACATGACGTGGATTGGCTGCGCACGCAGTCGAACATTAGATTGCCACAATATATTACATATGTTGGATTTTTTTAAAGCTTTAGAATAAAAGTTAGTATTAAGTAACTCTAAGAAATATTTATAATTATTGAAACTGAAATTTTTTTAATTAATATTTTGTTAATTTCATATGAAATTTATGATTTGGGGCGTAATATATTTAGCAGAAACGCATCATATGTAATGTGCAGAAAAAATTTCCTGCCATAAATTAATAACAATTCCCCCTCCCCCCAAAAAAACAGCCTTTACCAAAGTATATCTTGCAAGTTTTCCACATTCCTCTAAAGGTTCTGAAATGAACTTTTGCTGGTATGTTATACTGTAATTGTTTATATTACGAGTATGTTGAAGTAAATGTATGTGCTGTTTCTCTGTGAGTATTTATAATTAATTTTTCTGTGTATTCATGTTTATAGTCACGTAATTGACTTTCTTTGCTAGAAATAATTACTGATATTTCAGTAATCTTAATTAAGATAGAGTAAGAGACTCTCTGGTGTGGAGCTTTTGATAATTTATGAGAAATACTGTAAGCCATTAGATTGAGCACTAGATATGAAGATTATTTTAGCAATCACACTCTTACTATTTTATACATTATCTGCTAATTTTTAAAGCTAATTATTTTGTCCTCTTGCTGTTGCTTTATAAGAATTGTGAATTAATATGTATTGGCAGGATCTAGTAGACATGATTATAGAGCTGTGCAGAAGGGAGAGCTGAAAGTACATTGAAAAGCCAAAAACTGTTAGAATAATGTCAAAGAAAGGTTCGCAACATTGCAGGGTTTTGCTATGTCTACTAACTTGTGTCAGTGTCCTGCACACCCTACTAGACTGGAAGCAAATCATTGCTTTAGTCTGAAACAAATGACCAGACCTTAAGAAGGTTAAAATAACATTTTTATTCAACTCTTAAATGAACAGAAGGCACTGTTTGTGTGATAGACAAACTTCTGCTAATTTGCGAGCATTTAAATTAACATAAACTAACGTTTAATTTAAATGTATGTGTCATAGTCTAAGACAACACATGCATTAGACTATTTAAACTTGCACAAGATAATTACTGGCATATATTTTAAACAGTAGCTAGCAAGATGCTAAATCCAAAACAACTTTGACAGAGCTGGTGATAATATGTAAATGCTGCCAGGAGCTCTAAGTATAAAACATGCAACCCTTACCTTAAATACACAACTATTTTTCATTCTGGTGATGATTACAGAATGAAGAAATTATAGTAAAGGTTCAACTCATAATAAATGGTTAATTAACATAAAATCCAACAATATTTTGTAAAATTTCAATGCTTTGATTGTGAAACACAAGATGTCATTGCACAACTTGACATACCTAACTAGACAACTACTTGATGATTCATTCAGCATGGTTGCATGCCAAAAGCTATCTGAGTTCATATGGGATATAATTATCAGTAAATAGAAGAATGGATTGTATAATTTCAGAGATTGTTCATAAATATGATTTTGCTAATCTACAGTGTTGAGTATCTTGTGAATACTTTGGGTGCAATTCGCATCATAGAAATCAGTACTCAGACTATCCATGTGGCTGTGAAAGATGGAATTCAAGCCAGGTAGCATGACTGGAAATGAATAATACACAGACTGTATGAAAGGAAACTTGTTTTTATATTTTAAAAGGTTAAATACAGATCATATGCAGAGGAAAAATACTTGGATATTTAAAGAAGGCTTAATTTGGAAAATTATAATTTTTATTTATGGTTAATTTACATTTATGCATAAAATATTTTTGTTCTTTCTTCCTAGCTTTCTTTGTATAATGAACAAGCTATTAGAGGTAGCACAAAGTGTAATCTCCCTGAGAAATTTTATGCTGTATTTAAAGATTTGGATGACAAGGTAAGATAAAAAAAAATTTAAGAATATAATCCATTTACTATTACATTTTTATTGTATTAATTATTAGTTTAAATGGCCATCCACTGTAGGAAAAAAATCATGAGTTATGATAAGCACGAATTCTTAATTTAAGGAAAAAGAAACATTATTCACCTTGAGTAGAACAAAATAGGTCTAAAACTTCAGAAGACCTTGAACTACTTGAAATGAATTAGTAAACTAAATATACAAAAGACACATACTTAAACTAATGGTAACATGCCTTTTAGACAATGTGCTTGCTGCAAGAACATTTTGTATAAAAACAGGATAACAAAATAGCAGAACTGAAGTAGCTTCCAGTTAGTCTTATCTCATCAATTTTATACCTTTTGGCACACGCTTGATCAAAATTTTGAGTTTCATTATACAAAATTACTAAATTCTAACAGCTGTGTACCCTGTCTTAAGAATTTTCAAAATGGCATGATTTTATTTATTATTTTATTGGAAATTGAATAGTTTTAAATAAAACTGCGAAAGTGAAAAATTGGTATGGATATTAAAGTATGCATGTTTTCATCTATGAGAGAACTTTATCAAATTTGAAATATGACCTTTTTCTTGCTAGTAAGATTACAGCATTTATGATTTTAATTAATATAATGCAAATTAGCGTTTGGTTCAAGCATTGTTTAGCAACAATATTTATTGCATTACTTAAAAAGCTATAGATAATGCAGATATAAAAAAACAAGTGAATGCATTCAGTATCAAATACCAACTTTGATTGAAACTAAATTCAGTAATAAATATTTTTAATTTTCTTTATAGTCTTAAAATTGCAAAAGAAGCATTTTAACCTTGAAATTTTTATTAAATTTAAAATATAAAAATTGCTATCTGGTCTTCATATTCTGATTCTAGTTTTAACACTTACCTACTATTTTAAGAATAAATCTGTAGAAATTGAAGAAATGGAATATGAAATTGTATTCTGGAAATGAACTGTTAAAAATAGCATTTTCAAACTGAAGGAAAAGGAAAATATGCATGACCTTGTTCTGTCGTAAATTAGTACCCATGGAGTTATTTAATAATGAAAAGGCTATTATTAAAGACATGGATGTAAAATTTTTTCCATCCGATTGCTTGCATATAACTTTTGCAATAAATAATGTCTGTAAATGCTATGACATCAATTTCTATTTCATTAAGACATGCAGTCACATAATAAAAATAAATAACATCTTCTTTGAAATATCAAAGCATGTTTTCAAAATAGATGTATTATTTTTTTTAAAAAATCAAAGTGTTACTTAAACCTGTGTAACTTTCCCCCCATATCATTCTGTATGATTTCCAATTCATATTATGATTGAGAAATATATATCACCTCTCTTCAGCTTTTTTCATGCAAAATGGTACATATATAAAGGGAAAGAATGGAAAAGAATTGAAAAATGTGTTTTTTATTTTGCTTATTTTGAGACTCTCTAAACAGTTGTTTTGTACTTCTTTTCTATTTCAACAAGTTATGTTTTCTTAAATTAGTGTTGATAATATTTTTTAAATGATTTTAAATTTATAAAGGCTGCTAGGTATTCCAAAGTTTCTGTACCATCTTGTAAAGTCATGATTAAAGAATCACATTTTCATGAATCTGAGCTTTGAAATTATAGTTGATAATTTTTTAGATATTTTAAATTAGTCTGCAAAACCAAAAGTGAATTTTATGATATGCAAAGAATTGACATATTAGTATATTAATTGTAATTTTGTAGCTCATCTTTGAATAGTAGTATCAAAAGAGTAAAATTAAATACTCATGTTTGTTGTTGGAAATATATATTTGATATTTTTAATGTAAAATTACTTGCAGTTTATTTTGCCATTATTGCTGTTATTTTCTCTCTCTACAGAAAGTGATGGAGTTGTGGGAAATGACCAAATTTATGACAGATATTCCTCTGAAAGTTGATAAGGATGTTTTAGCTGCTCGAAGTTCATTGCTAATTCAGACTTCTCTAATCAAGCAAGCAAGGACTTACCTGGAAAAGAAGTAAATTTGCATAAGAATCAAAATATGTTTGTCCTTATTAATAAATATGATTCATATAGTAGAGTAATCAAGAAAGTAAGTTTCCTACAGCCTATAAAAAGAAAGAAAACATAATTAGTAAATTTAATTAAATTGGAAAGATTTATTGCAAAAGGTACAGCAATGTTTTAGCTACTTCTCAGCTTAAGAACACTGGTATTGTAACTCTTGTGTTATACTGTGGGATAAGTTCTTATAATCCAGTGTTATGGAAGTTTGCCACCTGGAAATAGAGCCAGGTTATCACAGTTGTCTACACATCTTATCTGTTGGAAAGTCATGCCAGGACATGAATTCCTTTAGGTAGAAGTCACTGCAAGTAAGATTGGGACTTAGGATGGATGGTCAAATACCTCCTAGCAAAACTTCTGCAGCAGATATTTTGTGGAATTCACCATATGTGGCCGAGCATTGCCATGGAGCAACACAATATCAGCACTCAGCATCCCATACCTCTTGTTCCAAATGGCTCATTGCAAGTTCTTTATAGTTGTGCAGTGATATTTAGTGTTCACCCTAGCACCCTTCGACAAGAAGTTTATGAGCAAAATGCCTTTCCTTTCTCAGAAAGAATGTGCAGTTTGCTTGAATTTTGTCCGGCATGGAGATCCACTTTGATGTCGATGCATCGACTGTTGCTTGATTTTCGGAGGGAAGGGAGCAACCTGCGTCCTATCATCTGTTACGCTCCTATTAAAGTATTCATCCCTTTCTCCTGATATCGCTGCAGTGCCCGCTTAACAATCAGTTCCCGGAACAACAGACGTTTTGTGACGCTTTCATGCACCACAGCCAGGGCCGGATTCAGACTTGATAACACCTAAGCTATTTGAGATATGGGACCCTTTATAAGTTCAGATATTATATGTCAGTGCCAAATATGATCTTTGAATCCTAAAGGGTTTTTTTTTTTTTTTTTTTTTTTTTTTTTGAGGGAGACCAAAGGTATAGCTTGTGTAGCTTATACGTAAATCCTGCACTGACCACAGCTCTTGATATCTATAGGGAATAGGTACTGAGTTCCAAACCCGTAAAGTGATGATTCTGCAGAAATGCACTGCTGCATCTGCAGAATCATCACTTTCTGCTCCACAAGGTTATCATCACTGAGGAATGGTCTGCCACAGTGTTATTCATCATGGACATTTTGCTTACCCTCGGAGAAATCCAACACCTACAATGAACCATCTGCTTACTCATCACATCTGATCCATATGCTAAGCACATCTGATTATAGACTTCGATCAGGGCTACCTTCTGTGCATTAAAACACTTTATCGTGGATCTCACCTTGCAGTTTACGGGAAAAGAAATTAGAGCTGATATCTTCATGCACTGCAACAAAGTTAATGTAAGTAATCAGGAAATTACAAATGCTGCATACGATAACCACACCTATAAACTATGTGGCTTGGGGCTTCGCATTTCATTCCTTTTGCAGCGCCATCTTTTGTTAATGTGGGACACTTACTTTCTAGATAACCCTCGTACTTTAACCAGAAAAATGCTAATTTTTGTTGCCATTTTAAAAATGTTTGAGGATTTAGATATTTAGTCAAGTTTTAATAATAATTTCGGTACTGTTCTGTTATCAGGAACGGATTCAGAAATGTGCATATGTATGGGTGTATGTACTCACGTATATATGTAGGCACAAATGTATGTGTGTGTATACACATACGGCACATTACATACACACGTGCATACATTCATACACTTCTGAATCCGGTCCCGATAACAGAACAGTACCATATTTTCATACCGCAGGTCATTAAAATAAATGATAATTCACCCTTCCCTCCAATTATATTGCAAGTTTTTATTTTAAAATTAACCAGCATGGCATTTTGGCTCTACTAATAAAGAAGTGTATTGGAAGAGCATTTACTACTCAGATTTGTATAATTTTTAGTATTTTCCTTTTTGTCTTTTAATATAATCTGCTATCTGTAGAGTTGCTATACAAATTATTGAAAAAAATGAAATAAAATATTTTAAACAACAAATTTTGTTAAAAAGTGTTAAATTGTATTTTAAAATTTAAACATTGACTTAATATTAATCAATTTTTAAATTAATGTAACTATTTTGAAGCTCTGATCTGTTACTCAAGTCTTATTTTAAAACTATGTAATAGCTTGAAAATATTATTTTATATTTAATTCTAATTTTATTTTTGGATTATACAGAGAGGGTTTTTGGTTCTCTCTCATTATCCACCCACCCCTGACAAAAATCAACCAACAACAACCCTGACAAGTATGCAAAATAAGAATTAAAGAAATGTGAAATTAAAAACCTAAAAATTAATAAAGCCTGAAAATATATTCCTAAACCAGAAAAATAAATAAAGAAGAGTAATTCAATTAAATCTGATGTAACGTTATCAAGAGGAAGATACATCAGACTCAATTACAAGCCTCCTTCCACTTGAAAACACTTGCATTTCTGTATTCAAAATCAGTTTGTTAACTATTCTAAAGTTTTTTAATTAATAACAGTTCATCCAAAAATTTTGAAGTCGTACACATTTATTTTCAGTTCATTAAAAATATTTTAATTTTGTTAGATTCTGTAGGATGTATAATAAAAAAAGATAATTACAATTTTAAGACGTCATAAAGTATGGTATAAAAGTAACAATTTTCTTAATACACTGCATGGTCAGAAGCCAAGTGGTTGCCACAAGAGAGTGCTTGCTGGTGAGTACATAAAAAAGGCCACATTGCATTGGAACGCATATATTGCAGCTGGTAGTCATTCATTCATTTGAAAAGTTTTTGTAAATATCCATGATTAAAATTATTTTTAATCTTTCATACTATTTATACTTACTCTCTTTCCACTCCATATTATATTATGAAAATTGTTACTTTTGCCGTGTTCTCTCAGCCCTTAAAGTTGTGACTATTTTTCTTGTTACATTTTGTATATTGTAATATCATAGCTAGAATAGAGTTCCTTGAAAGCAAAGATATTGAAGAACTATATAGCGACTATTCGCCGTGTTCTTGTAGCTTAAGTAACAAGTCTAAAGAAGGGTTCAAATACCCTTTTATTCTAACTCAAAATTAATTAGCAGTAGATCTCGCTTGGGCAAACAAGAAGCTTCCACTTGGGCTTTAACTGAAAATAAAAATTATGAAACTAAATAGAATTAATCAGCCGAAGCTGCACAAAATCAACTCGTGTAGTTGGCCCTTATTTAAGGATCACTGTCATATGCTAGCAGGCACATATTATGCAGGACCATAGAATAGCAACCTTAAACAAATAGCAATAACGTAGAAGGCATATTAGGTAGGCCGAAAGGCGAGACACATTCTCCCACTGAAGTGACCCTAATTTGAGCTTAAATACTCGTTTCTACCTTATTTGCATAAATCGTAATCCTGAAAACTCATTCTGGCAAGAAAACATAGGTATGAAACTAGATGATAAAGAAAAGTCTTGTTCCAAAATAATAACTTATTAGGTAAAACCCTACAATATCATCTCAGTAAGTTTTGTATATCATCTATAACAGTCTTTTGCAGTGCATTGTATTTTTATGTAGGGATAACGTGATTGCCATTAACCAGATAACCAGATTTTTTTTTCCTTTACCATCAGGCAATGCTTATATGTTAATATTTTTTCACTTTGTCCATTAATTCAACAATATTTCTCTGCAAATTCAATAAAAGTCTATTCTGAGTTGCATTTCTGTTTACTAATGGGCTTAACTCTTTTACTGAATTTTTTTTTAATCAGACAAATTGTGTTTCTTGAAACAGTTTTTTTTATTCCAAAACATTATAAAAACACATTCTTGTTGATGTATAGATGTGCATTATTCTGCTTCTTTTTCTGTAAGAATGATTACTTTCATTAGCTGAAAAGAACACATAAAAAGTGTTATTATAATTTATGAGGTTTTTAGTCTTGCTCTTCAGTTTACATTTGAACCTGAATCATTTAATTTGCTCCCTCTGTGTGACACTTTACAGTCATAAACCTGGCTATCCTCTTTTTTTGTTTAGTTTGCCTTTCTCTTTGCAAATCTTGTGAATGCTGAAATGAAAATGGTTTTATCTACTATTTGTCTTCCCCCCTTCAATTAAGTATAAAATTTTGATAAATATTCTTGGGTATCAAGTTGTGTTTCTTTTGTAAATTGTCCTTTCTATTCTTAAAAATATGTGTTAAAACTGCATTATAAGGTAATTCATACATTCATTTTCATTATATATTACTATCCTTTGACAATTAATAAAATTCTGTCTTAATTTGCTGTTAAGTTATTTGCAAAATAAGAATCCATTTTGAGAGGGGAAAAGTACTTTTTTTTATATTTTTTGTTTATTTATTTAAAGGAGTAAGTGTTATCTGTATGCTGTGGTTCATTTGCTTTAAATACACTGATGGAAAAAAAATTTCCAACACCAAGAAAAAATTGTCTAGTAATGAAATTTAGGCAATACATTTGTCTAGGTAACATATTTAATTAATTAAATTATCAAGATCACAGGTTAATGTACGCATGAAAAGAGCCATTTTAAATGTGAAAACTTCGTTTAACGGTTTATCCACCAGAATTTTGAATGCAAGTATTCAAACCCTTTTGCATTTTGTGGGATAGAGTTCTATGCCTGTTGCAGTTGATCAATCAATACAGTGACAGTTAATGCTGGTTGTGGATAATGTTAGAATTGGTTTGCAATGAATGTCCCATACATGCTCGATAGGAGAAAGATCTAGAAGCAGCAGACCAAGGCAACATTTCAACACTCTGTAGAGCATATCAAGTTACAACAGCAGTACAGTATAAAGTCCATAATCCGGACTCATCGGGACTTCGGAGATTCCAGATTAGGGTTTTTTCCGGATTATAGATCATCAAGTTAAATCTGGTAAAATGGCATGCAGAAATTATACGATTAAAAATACGAAATCATGATTTATCAAATAAAGAATTATGA